GAATATAACAAGACCAGAAAAAGATGGGCAAAAAGTAAAAGGGGAGAAGAGATGAGAATATGATGTGTCGAAAAGCTAGAAAAAAGATGATTCCTTTGGCATGAAGCTTTTGATTTTTTAACGGGGAATTGAAATATATGTACTCATAGAGTAGGCAAAGTTGATTCCTTTGTATTTGGATTGAGAATTATGTGTTCATGACCAAGTGTCATTAGTATCTAGTCAATTCAATGGATTATGAAATTTGTTTTAAGAATATTTAAATTTATACTAGCACCTGTATTTCACATTATAAGATGATTATTTGATATCTTTAAAAATTTGTATCAGAATATACTCCATCTGTCTCACCCTCTTTGTCCACTTTGATTTTGGCACGAATATCAAGGAGTGTGACAACAGAGTGGATGTTGGGATGTTGTCTAAAACGAGTAAAAAGAAAGAAAATGAAAACATAATCTTATTTTTACTACATTATTTTCCATAATGAAATACATAGTTTTGTAAAATTCTTACATTAGCGGATCGATCAGGTTGGGTTTGGATTCAATCAGTTTTGGCACATTTTTAGTGGGTAATTTCGTGTTCGGTTATCTTCGGATTTGGTCAACATAACTTTTATTCAAAATCCAGTATCTTTGGGTCGGGCCTCAAGTAAAAAACAGATCAGATCAATTTTTGCAAGTTCTATATACTCGGCATTTTTTAATTTATTTCTTTGATGGGAAAAGAAAGATATAAAAATGATTTTAAAATTTCATTCTAAGTGTGTGTTTGGTTTGGAAGAAAATATTTTACTAGAAGAATACTTTTCAAAGGAAAATGATTTTTGAGAAGAATTATTTTCCAATCTTATACTACGTATTTCATTATTTGACATAAAGGAAAATGTTAAAAAACTAGTTTCTATTGTTAATATTTGAATATTAATATTGAAAAAGATGTTTTGAAAGAACTTAATAATATTATTTTAGTAGCATATGGGGCGACACAGCGTGGTTGGGGACAAGGGGGTGGGTGGACAGGGTTCATGGGCGGGTACCGGGTGACGAGGGATGATGGGTAGCGATAGAGGCAGGGTGGGTGGGGTGGAGTGAGGGTATGATGGTTGGTAGGGGTGGACGGGGCAGGGTGGGTGTGGATGGAGGTGAATAAGAGGTTGAGGAGTGGGGCTAGACGAAGGTGGTAATGTATGTGAGGTCTAGATAGGGGTGGGGTGGGATGGGAGAGAAAGGGGTTCGGGGTTAGGGTGGGGGACGAGGTGTATGCATGGGGTTGAGGCGAAAAAAGAATGAAATTTTTCTTTCGAAATCAACGGAAGTCATTTTCTTCTTGATACAATTTGATAGTAATTGATCTTATTGACTAATGAAGAATACTTCTTATAAATAGGGATTACAAGAAGAATTTTAATCTAAATAAGAAAAGAATTATAGTAACAATACAATAATAAAGTAATGTTATAATAAATGTAATGAATAATATATTATATCTCTTAATACATTTATTATTTCTAATATCCCTACAAGGTGATCATTGGTAACGAGGAAAAGCTTAAAGCACAGGTACTAGAATTGAGCCGGCGGATGCAATTTTATAAGGATAGCCTCTAAAAGTAGAGAGCCAAATCTTCATTGCATGACGAACGAGCTTGAGTTTTTTAGTTAGAGTGTTGGCGATTGGAGCAAGGGAAATGAGTTTCTTTTTTCTCCTTTTGGGTCGTTCTCTGCTTCTCTATTGCGTTACATGCTCTCAATCTCTAAAAAAAGTACAGACAAATGTAACTATCACGTTCTTTGATCACGTAATGATTTTCTTGAAAGAGATAAAGAGATAATGAATTATTTGGAGAGAAAGAGAGAGATAATATAATTTGATGAGCTCGGTCAGAAATGAAAAGGCTAGATTTTTGAGAACTTTAGCTCCGATACCATAATATAATTTGATAACAATTGGTCTTATTGAATAATAAAAAAATACATTCCTATAAATAGAGATTACCAGAGAAAATTCTAATCTAAGTAGGAAAAGAGTTATAGTAACAATAGAATAAAGAAGTAATATAATAATAAAGATAATGAATAATATATTATATCTTCTAATACATCTATTATTCCTAATTCTAATCATGATAAAATATTTTTCTGGAAAATAATTTCCTTTTACTTATGATACCAACGTAGGAAAAGTAGAAGGGGTGGACAAACGGTGGTGGATCGTGAGTAGGGGTGGACACGGTACGGTTCCGGTTCCGGAACCGGCAGTTTTGGTACCGTATCGGCCGATTTCGGCAACCCTCCTATTTTTTAAAAATTTTTTAAAAGTGTAAATGTGTAATTGTTAAAGGAAATAATGAAATAAAAGATCTAAAAATGTAGTTGCTATGTAAATTTAGAAAAATGAGTAATACATGAACAACTATATTTAATGTCCTGACGGTTCAAAAAAAGCGACGAGGTAAAGAACCGTAAAGAAAGCCTCGAAGGAGCTTATATATCGCTCACCTAAAAACCTAATTACATTAACATAAAAAAAGCTTATAACTTATACCTCGGAACTAGGGCTTCCATCTGTGGTTGCATTCATGTAATGTTCAGAAAATGAATTCGTACCCTGACTCTTGAGCTCGACGTCTTGTGAAGAGCCAATCTCGGTTGCAAAAAAGTATTTCAAGAGATTCAGCGCTAAGACAACTTCAGTAGTCGATTAGAATGTTGCCGCTAGAACTGAATTCTTGTTCCACAGCTACAGTTGCTACCGGGACGAATAAAACTTGTCTGGCTAGCATTCCGAGACATGGGAACATGTGTTCGTTCCGCTTCCACCATGCGAGGATGTCAAAGTCCACGTCGTCATCGTTGTCGTAATCGCATGGCACCCCTTGGTACATAGCAAGTTTGTTGTGCGAGCTTACAGTTGTACCACCTGAACTCGTCGAAGGCTAACCACGCTTACCTTTTTTTGCCAAAAGCCCACCGACTATTCCTTTAAAACCTTTTTTTGCTTTGGGTGGGGCAGAGGAGGTGCTGTTTCTTCTGATTCATTACCGTATATTCCTTGAAGTTCTTCAAATAAAGCCTCAAAAAAATTAATAGCATTATCTCTTTCTTTTGTCCATTCTATTAAATGATTGTAGTAATAATTATTTTCATCTAAAAAAAGTGTAGTTATACTCAATTAGAATTTATAAATTTTCAATCTTAAAGCGATGATCACAAATAATACCAATTTTATAAATATCAGGAATGTACAAATAATAAGCACACCATTTATCTCTCATAGAAGAGACATAAGGGTACAAGTTTGGATCAACTAAACTTTCATGAAAACATGTTGCAGTTGTAACACACTCTTTAAAAAATCTATTTGTAGTTCCTTGGTAAACATGCAAGAAAGTAAGAGTTGCGTTATTAAAAACTTCTAATACGACATTCAATTTTTCAACAATAATAAATTCATTCAATGAAATTATAAAACGATGTTCATTCCTAAGAAATGCAGCAGTAATTTATTTTAATCAAAACAAATTTGATTAATTGAATAATTATTCATTAATAATTTTAGGATATGTTTTTGGGCATAACACTTAACGCGGGGGGCGCCAAGGGGCGTTTAACACCTCCTTAGCGTTAAACACCGCCCCCCTTGGGGCTTCATCTGGGCATCACCGCGTTGCGTCAAACATTTAACGCATATATTCCCCCCCCCCCCTCCCAACAACTAATTTATCCGTTACACCCTTAAAAAATTCTTTAATTAATTTTTTATAAATATCAAACTCAATCTCCAATCTTCTTCATATCTTTCCTTTCTTCAATCTCCAATCCGCAATCTTCTTCACTGTTAGACAAAAGTGCAACTCTAGAGGGTGGGTGAATAGAGTTGTTCGCTAGAATGTGCGTAAATCGCGTGTGTGATAATAAGAGAAAAATCGCAGGAAAAATGTAAAGAGCAAGGGAAAGGAGTACACCGTGATTTAAACTGGTTCACCACCTCTTGGCTAGTCCAGTCCTCCGAGAGACTCTCTCAAAGGTTCTACTAAACTTCAAGCTTCAACGGGTGCTTGAAAAACCGATACAACTCGAGAATTTGAATCACACAAGTCTCAACTTCTTACAACAAGACTTGAGTCACACAAGTCTTAACAACAACAAGACTTGAATCACACAAGTCTTAGCAACACTCAAAAGATTGAGTTTACAACACAAGAATGAAAGCTCACACAATTTGAGCAAGAAGTGTTGAAATATGAAAGCTCTATGGATGACAATAAATTTAGCACCCAATGAAAATATTTCTAACTCTCAAAATAATATTTTGATGAGGAAGATGGAAGCAAGAAATGAATATGAATCAATAGAGATATTGGAGTGCAAGAGTTGTGTTTCAAAATGAAGGAGACTGAGGGATTAAATAGGCTGAAGAAAAATAGAACCGTTGGAGCAAACTGAGAATAGGCACCAGACAGAATTAATCGATTAAAGTATAGCTTTTAATCGATTAAAGTGCACAGAGACGAAAAAGTCTGTAGAGAAGAGTGGAACTAATCGATTAAAAGATGATAATAAATCGATTAGTTTGCGTTGTCTGAACTATTCGATTAAATGAAGAATGAAAAATCGATTAAATACAAGACCTGAGAAATCCAGCGTAAAGGAACTGGATCTAATCGATTAATTTAAGACTTTTAATCGATTAATAAGGAAATAATGCGCAAACACAAAGGGCCCAAGACCAGTTGCGATTGAAAGCAAATTGGATTAAACTCGTTGTTTGAGACAACGGGAATCACCAAGCACGCTCCTCAAAAAAATATCTCGTATTCAATAAATTTGAATAAGGGAGTAAAAGTGAGTCCAAAAATTATTTTGTGTGTCAAACGATGTACACGAAAAATATTTAAAGTATATTTTTCTCACACAAAAAAAAGAGTAAATTCCATAATTGGTCCTTTATAACAGGGGGGTTTCCATATTTAGTCCTCTATTATAAAATATTACTCTCGTAGTCCTTTTTTAAGGGTGCCTTTCCACAAATGGTCCTTTTTTTGATCTTCTGCCATGTTGGTATTAATTTAAAGGCTAAAACTATAATTTGACATCAACATTATGTTTAGTGACGTATTCTGATATTGGTTAAGCGGATAACACAAAAATAATGACTATGATTGTTGACTAGGATTCCGACGAAAGACCACATTTGTAGACTATGTTTGTAGTAGAAAGCGACTGTAATTCACAAACAACGCAAACAGAACAACATTTGGAATTGTGTATGACAAAAAAGATATATTATCATTGTTAAATTACACTTTTAGCCCTTAAATTAACACCAACATGATAAAAGATCAAAAAAAGGACTATTTGTGGAAAGATACTCATAAAAGAAGGACCACTAGGGTAATATTTGATAATAGAAAACTAAATAGGGAAACCCCCTGTTATAAATTACTAATTATGGAATTTACTCAAAAAAAATTGTGTATCCTTAAAAATATTTTATGAAATTTTGACACACTATTTTGAAACTGACTCGGTAAAATATTTTTAGACAGAGAAAAAATGATTTTTCAACTGACTCAGAAAATAATAATTTTTATCCCTCAAAATTAATTTGTTTATGCAAAAGTCATTGTCATCCCTACAAAAAATTCCTAGACTCAATAAAAAATAAAAAGTTTTCGGAGTCTTCACTTCTCTTCAAAAAAATTGCGTAGGGGGTGAGCGTTGATTTTTATCGCTGTAAATTTCTTGAAACGCCTCTTTGCTTTTCTCGATACGAAAATAAATTTTTGATCATCGTTTGAATTTAATCATCTTGTTTGTCATTCATCAAAACAAAAATATTCCAAATAATAATAATAATAATAAAGGGGTTTGAACCCATGTCCAACATTCACATCTTTCCTTTCTTCAATTTTCGTTAACATGAATCCCTTCGGTTCTTTTCCCGACGGTCCCGAGCCAAACGAGTACGCGATGTGGATCTTCCAACAATACAGGAGTAATCCGGCATTGTTCGAAACGCAAACATCGGTGAATCTCGATGACCCGAAGTTGGTTTCGGAGACTTAACCGGAATCATCGAGAACCAAAAAAAGTGCACGTCGGAAGAGTCACAAAGCGAAAGGCGACAAACTGATGACCAAGGCGGCACAGTCAATCCAAAAGTGGACGTCGTAGGAAGAGTCGTTGTTGGCGTCGGGTTGGGTTGACGTCTCCGAGCATCCTATCGTTGGTAAAAATGATATGTTTTCTAATATATCTGTGTTCTTATTTATATATTTGGGTTACATATTTGTGTTAAAAAATTTCGTTCAATTATATACTTTTTAAAGGTTCGGAGCAAATGAAGGATGCAACGTGGGATTATATCGATGAGAAGTTCTTTGCGGCGATGAACAAAGATGCCTCGTACTGTACTCTGGACCAACTCACTTCGAAATGGGGCCACATCGACCGTAAAGTCCAAAAGTTTATCGGAATTTACGAGGAATGGTCTCGGTCCCGGAAGAGTGGGACGAATGACGCCGATGTTCTCCGGCTTGCCATGGCCTGGTATCAAGACGACGGGCACCAAGGCAAGGTGCCCATCGATCATTGGAGAATTTTAAGCCGTTCACCGAAATGGCAACAACTCAACAATCCCGAGGCCGGATCCTCAAAGAAAAGAGCCTCCGTCGAGGCCGAGGTTGAGGTCGATGACACTGTCGGTTCGTCCGAACAAATGCATCCCTTCAACGTAAACGATTCTGATTACAAGGACCCCATTCCACGGCCGATCGAAAGAAGACAAAATCTATTGCCCCGGGTTCTTGAGGGTCCGGCTCTGTTTGTTCTCATGTCGATATCGGCCGGGTAATGGTTGAACAACTTTGGGTGTTCAATATTAGAGAAGAAGAGAGGGAGAGAAGAAAGCAAAAGAAGAAAGATATCAAAATATTAAATGTTCTTTTTTATTGAATGTAATTTTTATGAATTATTGTCATTTTAATTTTTTTAATTTAATGAATGTAACTTTTTTATGAATTATTCTCGTTTCAATTTAATTAAATAATTAAATTTTATTAATTTAGTTTTAGAAGATGTTTATTTAAAATGTAAAAAATAAAGGTTTGAAGTCTCAGTTTAAAACCTCAGGATTTTAAATCCATTTCTAGTGAATCTGTTAGGTAAGTTAAAGCTGACGTATCAGAGAAAGAAAGTTTGAAGCTCCGATTTGAAGCCTTGGAGTTTCATAAGTATTTCCAATGCACTAATAGCTAGGGCTATTCATCGGTCTAAGACCGGACCAAACCGGACCGATCCGGACCGGACCGAAGACCGAAATGAGTAAATTCAAGGACCGAAGACCGGACCTAAATCCATTCGGGTTTGGACCGGACCGGACCGAAATATTTAGGACCGAACCGGTCCGGACCGATTGGACCAAAAAAAATACATATTTTTTTAATTATTTTGATCAATTAAATATATTTTAGACTTTTTACTTTGTACCATTCAAATAGAAAATGAATAAAAAAAATAGACAACCTTAAAATGGATACACAATATGAACTACTTCAATGTAGAACCATAAAACAAATATGAACGTTTTGTTTAGATTTTTTTTTTAAAATTACTTAATAAAAAACCTTTTTAATTAAATAAATTAAAATATCTATTAAAATAGAGCATCAAAGTGTAATAAACAACTTAAAAAGTAGAGTTTTAGTATTTAGGTCTTTTAGGTCCAGTAGGGTCATTAGGTCCAATCGGTCCAATCGGTCTGGACCTAAATAATTTCGGGTTTGGACCGGATCGGACCGAAACCCAAATGCCTAAATTTTCTGGACCGAAGACCGACTCGAAATCCATTCGGTCCGGGTTCGGTCTGGACCTAACGGTCCGGTTCGGTCGGTTTTTTCTGTCCGGACCTAAATGTGAACAACCCTACTAATAGCCACCACGCCAATCATGCTCTCGGGGGAAGGGTGGTGTTTCCTCCCATCACGAACTGACGTGGCAGTCAAATCAACCATCACGACTCATCTCCTCTCCCACACTGCATACTCTCACCTTCACTACTAACATCACAAAGAAGTGATGTTTGCATAAATTGTGTTTACTCTCTCTATTTCTTTTTAATTGTGCAATTTATTTTGCATAAATATAAAATATACAATGAACTAAAATATAAAAGTTTACCAAATTATTGGTATCTAAAATACTTTCAATGTAATATTTATAACGATTTTTTGCTAATATATTTTAAAAGATACTACTCCCTCTGTCCCATTTTATAACGCATGTTTCGGTTTACGATGTTTGACTGAAATTATTTTCAAACCATTTTATATGACAAATGGTATAGAATTAAAAAATAAAAATTACATACTCCGTATAAAAAAACTACATCAAAAGATCTACGAAACTAGTAGTGACAATAATATTTTATTTTATCAAATTGCTAACGAAAATAGAGAAAGAAAGTGAATGAAGTTTGACCCTGTGAATAGTGAACAGACATTATAATTTGGGACGGAAGGAGTATTAGTCAAATAATCCTTTCGTTCCAAAAAAGTTGTCATAGTTTGATTTTTTTAGTTAAAGTGTGACACACTATGACCATAAATTAAATACTCCCTCCGTCCTATATCTTTCTTCCCGTTGCGCAAAACGAAGAAAAATTCCAAGTTTTTTCAATCTATTTTATTTAAATATTGGTATAGAAATAAAAAATAAAATATACATATTTAAAAACTACATCAAAAGTTCAACAAAACAAGTGGTGACAAAAATATTTTATTTTATCATATAGGCCATGAAAAAACACAAATAAATATAAATTCCCGTGAAGTTAGAATAGTGCTCTGGGAAGAAAGTTTTAGGACGGAGGGAGCATAACTTTAAATAATTAAATATTATAAAAATTTAATATATCAAGACTACATTTGAAAATAAACCTAATTTTAATAAATTTATATTATAACTAAATATACTTTTTTTTTATAATTTGTAGTCAAAGTGTTGCACAATTTAGCTAATAAAGTTAAAAAAAAGAATGGAGTCAACCTCTATTTTTAAAGACTCAGGTTGAGTTGTGTTACCAATTACTTGTGTATCTTTCACTCCAACCCAGAGATTTGTATCTCCAAACATACAAACTTGTTTCTTTAACTGCAGTTGATTGAGCAATAATCCTAATTGATTACTATAATTAAGACGTAAATTCTTTCCAAGCTACACACTTTACTGTTTGTAGCTGATTGCAATTTGCAAGCCCATTGTCTTATCGCCAACCACACTGATACCTCCATCCATCCTTTTCCTTCTAGTAACATTTTCTTGATTGGCCATTATATTACGCAACCCAGCTTACTCGATCCAGAAACACCGCAACATTAGTGACCACTTTATCTGCAAAGAATTCCGTTTTTGCTGTTGTCATCTGGCATAGTTTCCACGCCCTTTACGGAGGGCAGGTGGCCGTGTAAATACTCGAAAGTCTCAAACCGACCATTGCAGTGAAAACCCAGATTGGAGAATTATCAAGAATTGCTAGTGAGAAGTGATTCTTTGATGGGAGAGGGTTGTGGGTATTTTGCCACTGGGTTTCTTGGGCTTGCTTTGTAAGAGATCTGGCATTGGGTTATGAACACAGGAAGAGACATGGTACTGGGGTTTCTGAGATCTGGGGTCTAAGGATTGCTCTTTGAATCTTCTCTTTGCAAGGTAACTTCAAAAAAATGTGATCTTTCTTGTTACACTCAGTTATTTCCTGTGATTTAAACCTGTTTTGATCGATTTCACTGCATTTATTTAGCCACAAACCTTGTTTATCCATGTGGAAATAACTTCTGTCGATATATTGCTTTTGATTGAAGAAAGAGATAACTTTGCATTTGAACAAATTATTGGTGGATATTTTATCACTTTTCATTTTACTGGCTGGACAGCTTTTATTTGGGGGCATTGGACAGATTTTTACTTTTTGCATGTATAAAGGAATAATATGGTTTAGTTAGGTATGTTATTTAGCACCCGAGCTTCTAGTTTATATGATCTTCCTTGTAATATCTATTCAGGGTATTTTTGACATACAAGCAGATGGCTTCTGATCTAAACAAGGGATTATCCAAAGAAACGGACGTCGGCCTTCAAGTTTGGGAACTAATTGGGATTATCATTGGCTTGTTAATTGTAGTTATTCTCTTAGCATTGACCTTTTATCTCACTTTAAGGAAGAAGTCTAGAAGACCCAAAGACAATCTTCCCCTTTGTCAAATTCCTACTGTTTCTAAAGAAATCAAGGAAGTTCGAGTGGCGCATGGATCAACAAATGAATTTTCTTCCCACAATGGGATTCTTCTTACTATTCAAGATAATTCTGGCAATAAAGATTCAGACAAGGTTTTGGTTAATCTTGGGGTGGGGAGAACAAAGAATGGAGTTAGTAATATTTACAATGATAGTCTTTCGGGTTCTTTTCATCTGCCTGAAAAGGATTTTTGTGGGTCCCATTCGGGAGAAGACGGGAGTTCTGGCAAATTTTCCGGTTATAAACCTTATTCGTCTCGTCCGATTGCTGCACCTTCTCCATTAAGTGGTTTGCCTGAGTTTTCCCATCTGGGGTGGGGCCACTGGTTTACGTTAAGGGATCTTGAACTTGCCACGAATCGCTTTTCCAAGGAGAATGTTCTCGGTGAGGGTGGATATGGTGTTGTTTATCACGGGCAGCTGATCAATGGAACTGAAGTAGCTATTAAAAAGCTCCTCAATAACCTGTGTGTGCCTTTTGCTCAATTTTGTATTTGTATTTTTGTTGCAGAAAGTTCTCAACTTTTGGTCACACATTATTTAATCATTCCCATTTTTGGTCACCGACTTCCAATTTTTTTCATTTTCGTGCATGAATATGGATACCTTGCTACTTTTGGTCATCCACAATCGCTTACCCGATGGTAAGTGGTCACGAGGACCGGTAGTGACAAGAAATACACTATAATGCATCAAAAGTGGAAACAATGAAAGTTGGTGACCAAAAGTGGCAATATCATATTGTTTCATTCTCTCTACATATGATTTTAGAAATTCTTGTAATGCAGAGGTCAAGCGGAGAGAGAATTTAGAGTGGAGGTTGAAGCAATCGGCCATGTGCGCCACAAAAATTTGGTTCGTCTTTTGGGATATTGCATTGAAGGAACACATAGGTGTTGCTTTCTATTCCTGCATAGCCACACAGTAGTTTTTCATCTCAAAATTTGTTTTCGTCCTTCAATCCATGACCTTAGTGTTTTGGAATGGATGATGTTTAATATTTGTTTCGGGAGGGAAATATGAAAATATCTTATTTCCTTTTTTGTAGATGCAAGACTAGTAAGTACTACACTTCTAGATTGACCTAGCATCATTTTTTATTTCACATGACATAAGGTACAAAAATTTGGGCTGGATGGACTGCTGAACTAGTTAAACTGGATAAAAACCGGTTTAACAGTAAACCAATGGTTGAATGGGTACCCATTGGTCATTTGTTTGTTATTTTTCTTAGAACCAAAAGATTTGTTTCACCAGATCATCCGTTTAAAATCATGTTATTGTGAGTTTTGGTTTTCATACTCTTGAGTATCTAACTTATAACATAGAAACTGATTTATATGATGAATAATGTCTTGTTAGTAGATGATGAACATTCTATAGTTTGATTTTCAATTAATGTAGTGGATAAAAGTTAGGCCAACTATGCTTTTTTCCATTTTGAATTATAACTATGTATTTGATTATTTACATGAGAAAGTGCTTCACATAAATGGGACATGAGAAAGTGGAATTGCTTATTTACTTCATTTTGAATTACACTCCCTTCGTCCCACTATCTTTGGGACATGAAAATGTGGCAGACTTGTTGAGAAAAAGTAGAATTATGAGGTTGATATTTAATATGTAAAGTTAGGGTAAAATGTGAATAATTTTGACCCACACAAATATGGAATGTGACTAAGATGGTAGGGCAGACAAAAATAGTAAAAATGACAAAGATAGCGTTAATAGGGACACTTCTTATCATCTTCAATTTGAATGTCATGTGTGAGTGCGCGTGTAATAAATTCTTTGTCTCATAAACTCATAAAGACCTTCACATGTGGAAATGGCACGACTTGTAAGAGTAGATCGAAAAGTAGGTTGAAAAGTGTTATTTATTGGGCAAATGACTATTGATAGGATATGAGAGAGAATTTATGTAGGTAGCTGTGGAGTGAAAGTATCTTTCCAATTATTTAATTTCCAAAAAAGGTAGCGGGGAAGCTGCATGGTACTTACATTTTGTAGACGTGGTTGGGTTATTCCCATTTGTCTATATCTATTGGTGGGAGTTGATTTTGGGACATCTAAAAATGGTAGGCGAGAAGATGGTCTTTTGACGAAGGGAGTGCGTCTCTAGTAAGTATTAACACATCAACAAATATACATGACATGAGCTTAGAGAATTGAGATTTGCTTCATACCCCCTCCGTACAAAAAAAAACATCCTACTTTGACTTCACGGAGTTTAAGAAAAGTGTTGAAAGGTGAAAAGTGTATGGTTAAGATATGTTTACGAGAGAGATTGTGAGCCTCATACTACATTCCTCTAGAGGAAATGGAAAAGGTGAGGTTTATTTTGGAATGGACGAAAAGGATTAGTGAGAATTTTTGTTTGTGGGATTAATAGAGGAACTATGTTATTTTATTCATAACCAACGCCACCAATTTTATTACCGGCTTGACCGGACTGGTGAACCATTGAACCAATGTCTTGATCGGTTCAATCACTTGTTGATTTATAACACCTTGGTTTTACATGTCTAATTATAATACATATTCTGCAGGATTTTGGTATATGAGTATGTAAACAATGGAAACTTAGAGCAATGGCTTCATGGAGCTATGCACCAGCATGGGTATCTAACATGGGAGGCAAGGATGAAGATTCTCCTTGGCACGGCAAAGGCGTGAGTTCATTTGACTTGGCCTCCTGACCGTACCATTTTATAAAGCCTCGCCTAGCTATCTCTTTCTCAGTTTGTTTGTTTCAATCATTGTAGTCTTGCCTACTTGCATGAGAACATTGAGCCAAAGGTGGTTCATCGGGACATCAAGTCAAGCAATATACTTATAGATGGCGAATTCAACCCCAAGGTCTCTGATTTTGGCCTTGCTAAGTTGCTGGGGGCCGGTAAAAGCCACATCACGACTAGAGTCATGGGTACCTTTGGGTCAGTTATTTTGATCCCATCCTTTCTTAATTGTCAACCTAAAATGTATTTCTTACTATACTTTGTTCATGGTTAGAGTTCCGGTCCTCCATTTTATGTAACTGGAACCGGAACCAGAGCCAGAACCTTGTGAAACAAGGTTCTGGTCTGGTCATAGAACCTAAAGTTCTGGTTTAGAACTGGGACTGTGTCCACCTCTACATGGTCCAATTATAAAGTACAACTTAATGTGCGAATGACAGATATGTGGCTCCTGAATATGCAAATACTGGTCTCTTGAATGAAAAGAGTGACGTTTATAGCTTTGGGGTCGTGCTGTTAGAAGCAATCACTGGACGGGACCCGGTCGACTATGGACGTCCTCCTCAAGAGGTACTTAATTATGGAAATATAATACTATTAATCTCATCATGCACTAACGTTGTGGTGTTTGCTCCATTATTACCAATTTATCATTAATGGCACATTATGAACATGTACTTAGACTATTTATTTACATCTATATGACTTATTCAACCACTGGCTTAGGCAATGTTTGGAGTGCGTAAAGTTGTAGGGGAAGGGGAAAATGCTAGGGAAAATATTTTTTTATGTTTGGTTTTGAAAGGTAAAACCATATTTGATTGGAACTTCTTAAAATTTTAAAAATATTTAGATAGTCTTATGCTCCATCCGTCTCAAAAACAAAACAAATTCACACTTACCTTTTGGACTATCTCAAATAAAATTCACAGCTCTCCCATTTCCTTTTAAGGAGAGAGGTATGTGGTTCACAACATTTCTCTCTCTTTCTCTTCTTAGAGCACTAGAAATACGTTTGAAGCCCCGGGGCTTCAAACTTTCTTTCTCTGCCACGTCAGCTTTAACTTACACCCAAAATTCACTGGAAATGGGTTTAAAGCCCCGGGGCTTCAAACTTTCATTTTTTACATTTTTAAATATACATCTTCTAAAATTAAATTAATAAAATGTAATTAATTTATTATTTAATTAAATTGAAACACAAATAATAAAAAAATACATTAATTAAATAAAAAAAGCGACAATAATTTTAAAAAAGATACATTAATAAAAAAACTAAGGTAAATTATATTTCTCCTTGATCTTTCTCATTCTTTGCTCGTAGATCATTAGTCCAAACTCCGACAACGTCCCGGGGTCGGTTTGCATGACTTTCATCTCGGCCTCCTGCTCCTTTAGTTTCAACTCCTTCTCCTTTAGCTTCAACCTCTCTTGTTCGGTTGAGTCTCCAGAACCGAATCTCGGTCGACGTACCCCGATTGTTGCGTCTCGTAGATCGGCGGTCGATCGCCCCACTGTTGATACAACCACATCGCGGCGTCGCTCGGCGGGAAAGAAGCCGGAGCCGGAAGGATTCATGTTGAAAAGAGAGGGGGTAATTTCGAATTTTAAAAATTGGGAAGAAGAAGAGATTGAAGATGGAGAACTGGAGAAGGTGGAAGATGGAGAACTGGAGAAGGTGTGAGAGATTGGGAGGGGGGNGTTTCACGCCCCCAGGGCGTTAAACGCCCGTTCACGCCGGCGGGCGTGAAGCCCATTTCCAGTGCTCTTAACAAACTTCAACCATACGTTTTTTTTACTTCTCAACATTTTTCTTAAACTCCGTGGAGTCAAACTAGGAATTTGCTTTTGAGCATAACACAAAGAATAAAAAGGGTTAGATGAAATAGCTAAAATTGATTTTTCCGGGTCCAAACAGACCATTAGTTTATACTACTGTGGTTCTCATATGTAGTCTGTACACTGTTAAAAGTGCTCTTAAGATTACCAGTCTCACACTCCCATGGAATGGGCACTGTTTTTTGTGAATATTCAGGTGAATCTTGTGGACTGGTTGAAAATGATGGTTGGAAACCGACGGTCGGAGGAGGTTGTGGATCCAAATATTCGTTCACGGCCATCAACCCGAGCTCTCAAGCGGACCCTTTTGACTGCTTTGAGATGTGTGGATCCGGATTCCGAGAAGAGGCCCAAGATGAGCCAAGTTACACGCATGCTTGAATCCGAGGAATACCCCATCCCAAGAGAGGTGAGTTCCCAATTTGTGTCATGTATAATACTCACTCGCTACAATCAATTTCCTAGTTTGTTTAAGACTATGTTTGGTTCTAAGAATTTGATAGAGAAGAAAAGAAATGAAATGGAAAACAATTTTTTTTCTTTGATTAGAGAGGAGAAGAAAAGAAAAGTGGGAAGGAAATAAACTAGAAGGGGGGAAAGAAGTTTCCATCTGATTTGGTGAGGAAAAAGGAGAGAAACATACGCTATGTTTGGTTCAAGGAAATAAGAAGGAAAGGAAAAGAAAAAAAAGGTTTCTTTCCTTTTCCTCACCAAAATAGAAGGAAATTCATTGTCTTCTTAGTTTATTTTTTATTCGATTTTTCTTTTCCTTCCACGTTTCTTTTCTATTCCTCTCTAACCAAACAAGAAACAGTATTTTCCATACCATTTTCTTTTCTTTTCTCTTAAATTTCTTGAACCAAACATAGTGCTAGTGAGTAGTCACTAGCAACAAATTTTTGTAAATATCTAAAATTTTTGTAAATCTTCCGAAAGTTCCTCTCTAATTTTTTGCCATATTTTATAGAGGTCCAAAAAATGGACAAGTAGTCATCCACCAATTGTATTTTTCATGATTTGTTGCTTTTGGCATTTAGATATGTTTGGCTATTTTTTCCTCTCAAAATTCTCCAGGACCGAAGGCAACGAAGGATTCGAGGCACAGAGAGTGAATCCCATATGGAGAACTATGACAAGAGTGACAACCCGGATTCACGATCAGAGAGCAAAAGGATTGGCGAAGCATGACTCCCTCCCGCCATTTTGGACACGCTACTTTGCACAGTACTTTTCGATATAAATAATACGTGCTCTGCAGTATTGATAATAATAATACAAATAAATATTACTCCATTAGTAATAATAATAATAATAATAGTGGTAGTAGTAAAAATGGTGTATTGATTCATTTGTATAAGGTTGGTACTTGGTAGTATATAATATAGAGAGAAAAATGGTGAAGAATAGGCACTCTTATTTTCCACATTGAGGTGTTTTGTGTTCTTGTCATCAATTAGCCATAGTGTGAGTGAATTTGAATTCCTTGGGAATGAATGAGAAAAATTATGAGATGAAGAGTGGAAGAGCTCTAAATTGCCATAAATTGTACAAAATGTAAATCCATTTGAACATCCCTTTGGTTGGGTTCATATCCACAACCCCCATCTTATGGGAAAGGTAACAATGGTCAAACAAAGATTCTTTTGTCACTTGATTGGGTGGTTCATTTGCATTTGACTAGGCCTTTTTACTATGAGGTCATAATATTGAAATTCATCGTCGCGTAATTTTTAAAAACTTGTTAGTCATGTGTAACACTTAGGCTTATTTTTATTTGAATCGTCGTTGATTTTGGGATCACTTTGGATTAAATCAAGCACACTCCATAATTCAAGGGAAGTACATGGACTGGGAAGAGAATGTTATTTCATACGATAAATCTATTTTATCATCAAAATTTGACATCATGTGTTTTACAGACTCGCAAGACAATGTATATCTTATGTATATCTACGTAGTATTTATTTACGAATAATGTGATAATCATTTTCAAATAACATAGTGCTCATTCTTAAGTAAGTACAGTTCATTCATTTCACATTTGAAAAATATAATATAATTAATCTTCATAGTCAAAACGCGAAGAACCGATCCGCACATCATCATCATCTTCATAGCCTAAATCGCGCACCTTCTAGCAAATTTCTGATAGGCTCTTCTTCCTCAAACGCGATTTTAAGCTGGCTCTACGGGAAGAACTATACAATCGAGTGTATAATATAATTTGCGCATTTTAATATTTGCTTCGGCTCGAGATTTTCATTTTCTCATTTATTAAAAACTCATCAAGTAACATTTTAGAAATGAAATAATTAGTTCCAAATATTCTCCTCATCCCTATTTTGATTACAAAATAAAAATTACGAGGTAAAATCCACGGTTTTTAAATTATTTTGTTTATAAATTAGTACATGAATAAATGAAAAAAATATTTTATTTTATCAAATAATCAATAAAAACAGACAAATAAACAAAAGTTATAAAAAAGAGAGAAAATAAAAGTGTAATAAAAATGGGAGGAGGAAGTATAATTTACTCGAATCAAAGGAAAGTTAGAACGGAGTATATATTGATACGGAGTATTTTTCCACCTCAATCCGCACCGCCCTTCTGGGCTGGCGTCTCCGCCGTAACAATACCCACTTCGTCCATATCCATCGTCCTCTCTCAGGTATGTATTTCTCTACTCTCCATATCCTTTGTCTTCGCTGCTTCAATTTCGAACCTTATCAAATATTCTCAATCAGAAATTATATCTATGTATGTATCGGGTCTATTATCTGGACATGAAACACAATTTGTAGATGTTCTTATACAATTTATATCTATGACCTAAAGTTTGAAGTTTTGTTTGAAACATCCACGAGTCTACACCACCTATTTCAAAACAAAAAAAAACTTGAAACCCAATAGTACTTTTACTGATCTCTATCTATACAAATGAGAGCCAAATTGGAACAGTAAAATTCGCCAATTGCAAACAGTGTTTCCGCCTAATTTGATGAAAAGTGCTCTTTAATTAGGGTTTCTGTCCGCCTCCTGTTTTCATCTTCTCAATTGTCCGCTGCTCTCCTCTTCGACCAGAGTCCGCCTCAATTGTCCGTCTTTTTGTCTTTGACTTTAGCGGCCGGCCATCTCATCCGTAAGAAGAATCAGGTGCATAGAGTTAATAGTCTCTGACTTCCAATGCAAAATTTTAATATGGTGCTGCTTTGTTATTGAGCTTGGCAATGTATTCGTTGATTTATTCATAACCAATAATTCTTTATTTGGCCAGATTGGGAGGTATTGACACATCTATACTCTTTGGTTAAAGTTGACCAACAACATTAAAGAGCTTAAGACCATTGTTGCTTTGTTTTTTTACCGGAGCAATGCCTCAATTTGGTGATTTTTTGTTCCCACTTAGTGCATGTGTTAATTCGTGGAATTCATTTTGGGTTTCGAGGAATGAACTATACACGCAAAACTGCCGGGGGGGGGGGTTTCTTTATCTATGGAGTGTTTTAAATTGGTTATTATGTATTGCAGGTTTTGATGGAATTGACTTTTCATAGTTAAGATGACCAAATATTGATATTAAGGGTGGAATAGATGTTTTTTTATTCTTTTTTTGGTTTTCACTTTCTTTTTTATTTCAATAAATAATTTTTTTTAAAGTACTTAAATTTTAAAAATATTTTCCAGGCCGTGCAACGCACGGGTACGAGTCTAGTCTATTTTAAAGAAATCACCCTAAAAGCAAGAGAGAAATAGTAGGAATCAAACCCTTATTTTCTTGAAAATGAGGGCTTAATTTTGGGATTAAGGAAGTATATGTTTGGAACTTATCATTATTTGTGATTGTGTGTAGCATAAGAATTTGATTGAATATATAATGGATGGTGATTATGGAAGTTAAATGGCGAGGGAGTGCCTCAAGTAATTTGGGGAGTTGCAATAACACTCCCCTTTTTCTAATTAGGTAATTATCAAGTGCTGTAATTACCATATGAAAACCAACTACAACTATATGACTATCATTTTCTATGTACCTTGAACGGTGTATATCCTATGTGTCATTTGCCATATTTATGAGCTGTATCTGTTTACCACTTGTGATCATGGTTGTTTTTCTTTATTAGTTTCAAACCATCCTTTGATCATAAGCATCTAACTCAAACACATTGCAGTGCTGCAAACGATCTTTGGAACCTGTGAATAAAGAATATCAGTGTAAGCCTGCTCTATTGACTGAAGAACAATTCCAGGTTTAAACTTGAGTGAGCCTTCAGCAATGGCTAAGGCAAAAGCCACTACTGTTAAAGATGCAGTTCACAAGCTGCAACTTTGTCTTCTGGATGGCATTCAAGATGAGAGTAAACTCTTTGCTGCTGGATCTTTGATGTCTCATAGTGATTACCAAGATGTTGTGACTGAAAGAGCTATAGCAAATATGTGTGGATATCCTTTATGCAGCAACTTTTTACCTTCTGATAGGCCTCACAAGGGTCGTTATCACATTTCGAGGAAGGAGCATAAAGTATATGATCTACGTGAAGCCTACATGTACTGCTCAACAAAATGTGTTGTGAATAGTCGAGCATTTTCCAGTGGCTTGCCAGAAGAGCGAACTTCCTATCTCAACCCTTCTAAACTTAATGAAGTCTTGCAGGCTTTTGAGCAACCTGGTTTGGACGCTCAGGTGGATCTCGGAAGAAAGGGAGATTTAGGGTTATTTGAATTAAAGATTCAGGAGAAAGTAGAAGTGAAGGGTGGAGAAGTTTCTCTTGAAGAGTGGATTGGTCCATCCAATGCAATTGAAGGCTATGTTCCACAATCAGACAAGACTCTCAAGCCACAATTGAAGCCCCCCAAAAGAGGTACAACACATCAGGATGTGAGAACTGTTATAACATGTAGTGAACTTTTCATGAATCTTTAATCTTTCTCCAATTGCACCTTTCCTATTTATGGCAACGATTTTCTTCTGTGGTTATGGTACTTAAATTGTAGCTTATCTAAATCAATTTTTTAGCTGCCAGCTTTAATTGGATTTGGCAGGATCTAAGTCTCAGCATAGCCAGCTCAATAAGAAGAAAACTGTGTTATTTAGTGAGGCAGATTTCACCAGTTGCATAATTACTGACGATGAGTATAGCATTTCAAAGTTACCAAGTACTTCAACAACTCTTTTGAATGATTCTGCCACTGAACCAAGTGAAATAAGAAGGCATGGGAACAAAGATGATCAAATTGCTGCATTAGAAAAACAGGTCGGTTGTTTGCAAATCCATAACAAGATTGATGAACCAGAGCAGTCTACCAAAAGGAATGGTAGGACTTTCAAGAATGAGAACAACATTACAGAGGCATCTACACATCCTTCCAACAATAGTCTCAATGTGGATGGAATCAGCACAGGAAATACATCGGATGGTGGAAATAATGATGTATCAAATACTACATTAAAATCTTCTCTGAAGCCATCGTATGCCAAGAAAGAAACCCGTTCAGTAACTTGGGCAGACGAGAAGACTGATCTTAGTAGCAGAAGAATCATTCTCAGCGATTCTGGAGAACCAAAGAATCTCCAAAGTGTGTCTGGGGAACTAGAGTCAACAAGTACGGAGAAGGATGACGATTCATATCGCTTTGCATCTGCAGAAGCCTGTGCAGCAGCATTGAGTGAAGCAGCAGAAGCTGTTGTCTCAGGCTGTGATGTCTCATCTGCTGGTAAGGCTTCATTGGTTCTTATGTGAGATTTTTGGAGTTTACTCCTGATTGTTTTTTTTTTTTTGCGAAAGTAAGTTACGTCACCAGTATTAATTTATGCATTGAGCTCTTACTCCCAACATTGTATAGTATCTGAAGCTGGGATTATTATAATGCCACCACCACAAGAAATGGATGAAGTGGATTCTGGGGAGGATGATGGGACGCTTGATGTAGAGCCACATTTGCAAAAATGGCCAACAAAGCCAGGGATGCCAAATTATGATTTGTTTGAATCTAAAGATTCTCTTTATGACATTCCACCAGACGGGTTTAGTTTGTCTGTAAGCTGATTTTCAAAATTGGTTTTCTCTATTTCCATTTTCTTTTTCATAGCTACAACACTTCTTTGATCTGGAAGGTGTTTTCTTTTTATTTGATATCTTATGCATGATATATGATTCATTTCAGTTGTCACCATTTTCAACAATGTTTATGGCACTCTTTGCATGGATATCATCATCATCCTTGGCCTTTATATATGGGCGTGATGAAAGTGACCATGAAGAATATTCATCTATTAACGGGCAAGAATATCCATGCAAGATTGTACTCTCAGATGGACGCTCAATTGAAATTAGGCAAACTCTTGCTGGCTGTCTCTCACGGGCCTTGCCTGGCGTGGTGGCTGATCTTAGGCTCCGTATACCGATATCAACCTTGGAAAAGGAAATGGTACTGATTTTCAGCTCTAGAAATTCACTCCCACTCCCTTCAACTTCAAGAAGGTGGAGCAATTGGGAGGGTTTGAATAATGATCCATTGCTTTCTTTGTTGTATTGAAACATTAATTTATTGATTTTTTATACAATTAATTAGTTTTTTATTTATTACACTCCAATTCATTTATTTACGTGTTCTTCCGATTCATGTGTGCGTATGACAAACAAAGAGTCAGGGACTAAATTGGTTCTTGTGCCATTGACTTGGAATTCTGATATGTTTTGTATTGTCTCCTTTGCATATATGTCCAGGATAAGTTGATTGATACCATGTCTTTTGTGGAACCGCTACCCCCATTCAGAATGAAGCAGTGGCAGTTGATTGTTCTTCTGTTTCTTGATGCTCTCTCTGTATCTAGGATTCCTGTGCTTAATTCATTTATGACAGAGATGAGATTCCTGCTTCCGAAGGTAAAAGTTTTGTAGCGATGTAGTAAGTTGCTTGTTTCTTTTCCTGTTCGGCATCTACTGCCCATATGTTAATTGCATCATATATATCCAACTGTCTCTTAAGGTCTCCACTGTTGTAAAAGGTTGCCTGGATGGTGATCATGATCCCCCCTCCCCCACTGCCACCACCTTAACAACTGTCTAAGTTCTAACAACTTTTGCTACATCATTATTCAATCAAACCCGAATTCACATTGGCGTGGCATAGAACCAAAGTTGAAGTTTTATGTTTACAATGTGCATTTGTTGAATTGTAAGTTTTTTTGAAAAAGTGAATATTATGGTTTACTCATTTTCTAGATTTGGTTTTTTGTTCACAAATAGGTTCAAGAAGAAGCTGGTGTAAGTGCTGAAGAGTACAAGATCATGAGGGATCTCATTATTCCACTAGGCCGAGTACCTCAATTCACGATGCAGAGTGGAGCATAAAGCTTTACGCCAAGAATTCATCAATCTCTTGACGAGAAACTTTTGTATTCGTGCTCATAAGATATCATTTTAAGGCATTTCTAAAAGATTAATCATAGGCACATCTCATGGGTTTTGATTGAAATGTGGCCTATAGGAATATGTAATTACTCGGAGTAGCACGGTTTTGTGTGTGAAGTTGTTCAAATGGCGGAAAATTTCCTTGTGCCATGTTCTGAAAAAATGGACTTATTATGAACTCCTAAGTCATTGTGTGTCACCAAATTATACTCCAAAACCATATTGCTGAATTGGCTGTGATTCTTTTGCTGTTTTTTTCTTGGTACGTGTGAAATTGTTGAATATTTTTAATAGTCATACTAGGGTGCTCTGGTGTCCTGTTCGTAAAATAGATGGTTCTTACTCTTTCTAACTCCCTCGGTAAACCCCTCACCCCGCCCCAATCCGAACACACTCCTTACCTCCTTTAATTGCACCTCCAAGTTAATTTTGACTTTGGAGTGAAATATTGACTGCAAAGTCAAAATTAAAATTTGACTCTAAAATCAAAATTAACTTGGAGGTGCAATTGAAGGGGTGGAGTGTGTTCAGGTTGGGGCGGGGTGGGAGGGTTAGGAGGGGTTAGAACCGTCAATTTTATGAACGGGATACCGGAGCATTTCTGGGTCATCCCATGGTATTAATTTAAGAAATTTTCCTAAATAAGAGTAAAACATGTGTCATATCTTCAAAATAAGAGCTTAAATTTAAACTCTTCTAAATAGGAATAATTAATTGCATTTTGTTTCAATTACTTCTAACGGCATAAAGTAAAAATGCCCTATAGCCTCCCCCTTTCTCTCTCTTTCTTCGCACAATCGCATCGCCGTTCTTGCCCTCGTTGCCATCGCCGGTGACCTGCCACCACTCTCTTTACCTGGTTCACCGGCGTTGCTCCAGCTTTTACAGTGCCGCTCAACCCCCTTCTCTCTCTTTCCCATTCCCCCGCATAGCCATGCGTCCACACACCCCATCCGCCCAGATCTGAAGTCTGATCCACCATAAGCCAAGTTCTTTGTGAATCCATTGTGTCATTGGTCAGAATCCTTGGCCCCGAGGTTGAAGTTGCTCGGTTGCTCCTAGAGACAAATTTTACTATGCAAAGCTTGAACTCGACGGCTAGGTCTGTTTTGCTTTTAGTTTCGCCAACATTTTTCATTGTCGTTGTGATAGGGAGTGTTTCTTCTCATTATGCTTTGTTTTTGTTAGACAAAATATATAATTTATATTAATTCTGGGTCATTATGTAATTTGTCTTATAGTTAGATCTATATATATTCTGTAACTCTTTTCACTATAGTTTGGGGTTCAATTACAATTCCCAATATGGTATCAGAGTAAGGGTTCCTCAAACTCTAAGTCTTTCGTCTTCCTCTTCTTAGCAGTGTTCCAGAACGCACAATTTTTTTTTCTCCCTTGCGATTGTGTTAAACAAAAAAAAAATCTTTTCTTTCTCTGTGGATTGTGCCGTGCCAATCATTGGTCCACTACCAATTGCAAAAACACAACAATTACTAAATCTTATCAACACAAATTGAATACCACCGATTTGCCGGAAGCTGCTTAATTTACCCATGGCCAAATCTGATCCTCTTGCCGATTTACCTACGGGATTGAAGCTATTCATCAAAAACCTTCATTCATTGACTCCGGAGAAACTTGATGATAAAAATTTCCCATCCTGGTTCTCCTCTGTCTCTGCCAATCTGACTGCACACCGACTTTTGCCCTATGTGGATGGAAGCCGCCCTTCTCCTTCATCTACTGTCTCTGCCGTTGATAAAGAAGGCAAGGTCACGCTCAGTCCCAATCCGGAATATGAAAAATGGTCG